CTGCTCTTTATGCAGCCATAACTTATACAACGGTAGATACTTTTGTCGTCCTGTTGATTTTTCATGTTTGTGGACAACTTTCGATTCTGAGAGACGATCTAAGGAAGATTCATTCGTGTGATGACAAAAATGTAGAAATAAAATTACAGCAGATCGTGCAAAAGCATGTATATATTAATAGGTTTGTATTAGAAAAAATCGTTCTTTTGTTGACGATGGAAAGAAAGATTGAAGAAGCACAGTAATGAGTATGAATTATAATCAGAAGAATCATGAAATACTAAGTACCGAAATTAAATTCGTGAATTTAAAATCTTTCTAAGTCCACCTTTTACTTTCTTTGTCTTAACCTATAAATGCATAATGTTAACATCTGACAATTATTAATCGCGTCGTATGTATATTTAAGGTTCGCGGAAACGATAGAGAAATCTTTCAACATGATGCTTCTGTTTCAAATGCTCGGTTGCACCACTCAGCTATGTTCTCAGACTTATCAAGTTCTTATGGTACGAAGAATAAAACATTCATTTCCAAATGGATAATGCATTGTCGAAGGATACAGCAAAAAGTATTATAATAACAAAATAATACATCATTTTTCTCATAATTTAATTTATAGTCACTTGGAGAGGAAGCAATAGAACATATGATTTTGCAAATTACGTTCCTGTTGATATACGTAATTTACGTGATGTTGCAATTGCTCTTATATTGTTACATGGGAGAAAAGCTAACTGTCGAGGTACATACTTTTTATAAATAAAAAATGGATCAATCGACGTTTTGGAAAATAAAATTTGCAATTTTTTTCAGAGTACAGAAATTGCCAACACTGCGTACAATGCCGAATGGTACAATTTACCTCCCAAGAATGCAAGATGGCTTGTAATTATCATGTGCCGTGCCAGGTCTTCACCCTTACAAATTACAGCTGGCAGATTTTGTTGCTTTACTTTAGTGCTATACTCTCAGGTAAGCGTAAAGCGGGTATAATTCAATTAACGGATACAAATTTTCCTAAAATTCTCTGGATAAATTGCGACGTATCCGAGAGATACAATGACTAATTTATAACGTTGTGCCAATTTTTGGACAGAGATTGTGTCCATATGAAAAATGTTCAATTTTATTCAAATAGTTGCAATATAAGAATTCTATATACATGTAAAATATAGGTATCCTGTTTGAGAGAAGTATTAGATGATTCTTGCTGCAATTCTATCAGGACAGATTCTATCCTTGGAAGATATGTATCGATAAAGATTAGTTAGTAAATCCTGGAACACATCTTATGTAAGAGATATAAAAATATCGCACAAATTGACTGCTTAGATTCTAGCGTATTGAGAGAGGAAGATATATCGAAAAGTAGAATAAATGCAGCGGTGATATATCGATCTTAGGACATAGAATTCTAACCGAGGCAAAAAGTAGATATATAATATTACGTTAAGAGAAATTAAGGTATACACAGAGGGTCCACGTATTTACCAGCCGTAGGTATATGTGTATACGTCCCAGACATGTCAGAGGAATATAGATAGGAGTAAATCTATAGATGTGACGATATTCCAACAGAAATTTGGGAATGAGTAGGAGTTAGAAAAATATGTAATGATATCTCATATTTACATAAACGTATACAGAGCAATCTTTTCTTTGTGTTCAGGTCTTAAAAACCTCGATGGGGTATGTATCCGTTCTACTCGCAATGAAAAATAAATAATGTACTTCTGCAAATTTTACAACTGTCTATCAACTTGATAAAAGAAGAGCTACGATAAGAATATTTTAGTATATTTCTCTAAATGATAAATTATATCTCAGAGCAACGAGAATTAAAATGGTGAGACAAAAAATTAGGCACTGTGGAAAGTAATGAAATTATTAATTACTAAAGAGATTCCTCGATACCACGAATACTTCTCACAAAACCTTTCCTTCTGCACCTGGATATTCTCCAATTTTTTCCTTTTCTTTTTTTAACGATATTATGTTTAGGGTGCTACTTTGAGCAACGTTAAACCTATTCGTAGTCGATTGCTAAGAGACTAACCGCAGACATGCCATTGATAGATATTTAATAGGTTTATGAACCGTAGCTGCAACTGGTACTTTTGTTACTAACGTGTTCGTGTTAGATATTATCTTCATTCGCTGCTATTTACCCCATTTCTCAGCAATTATGCGCTATTTTTAAGCGAAAACTTGGACATACTGAGGATACATGACAGTCTGTGTATCAGCACGGCTAGCTTTAATCAAAAACAATGATGTTTCTGCTATTGTGTTACGAAAATTACTTTTCTAAACACTTTTCGATAGCGAATAATCATTTGCATAAACATATAAACATGGATACGTACACCACCTTTGCAAATATTAAAAAATCTTATATAATACACGTTAATTGGCACGGATCATCAAGAAAACGATTAATAAGTACTTGGCGAATTTTTTAGCAGATTCCTAGATAAATTATTAAAATTAGATAAAGTGGTGTACAATACCCGCTTGTTGCGATGGTCAGGTCTAATATATTGTCAGGACGATCAGATATGAGGGTGGATGTTTGAAATTGGCACGTGCGAATTTTCGCGTAAGCGGTGGCTCCTCAGTGCGCGGCTACCGTAGCGATTTTGAACAGCGAAGGAGACAGTGGAGCGTCCAAACATCCGCTTGTCGATCATAAGTGATCGTAATGCGTATCCGTTCATTCATCTCTTTCGTTTTTCACCCGTGAATGCTATCCTTTCTTTTTCCCCGCTTGCAGAGTAATACACAAAGCGAGTCAGAAGCTGATCTAGGTGCACTTCATCCAGCCACGTTCCCTTACGACGTCAGCAAGAGTCAAAATGTTGAGATCGCATGGCCGGGACAATTCATGGGCTCGGTGCTAAGCGCGATATGCTATTCTTGTTTCGACACGTTTCTTGCGGTTCTCGTGTTATACTTGTGCGGTCAATTAACTGTTCTTAGGATGGCTCTCGAGGATCCAACTAACGTGACAAAGCAGAATAATTACGCAAGCTTCTATGAGCGACTGGAATTCATTGTGAACCAGGACAATCAGTTGCCTAGGTTGGTAGAAGCGATTTATCAGTACGCTAAAAATGTTTGCGCGAATTAAGAAATGAATATTAGAAAGATATTTCTTTCGCAATCCAATTAGTGAAAGGAGATTATTCCAAAAAAAAAAAAGAAAGAAAATAGGAAATGTTAGTCGATTTATCAGATCGAAAAATCGTTTAGGATATAACTAGTAAACAAATTTAAAGAAGCGTTTATTCCAAGGTTTGCCGTGATCGTGGAAGATCGTTTCATACTCGTTCGGGTTATAATCTACACGTCGTTGTATTTTCTGACTGGATGCCGTATGACAACCGTATGCTAAAGTTAATATTACATTGACATTTGTTCGACGAGGAAAGAAATTGGTACGTAATGCAGTTTCTTTTCCGTTTTAGTCCGTAAATCAGATGCAAGTGGACGTGCCAATAGTTGGAATGATATTTTTCATCATACACGTAATTTATACTGTGCTACATCTTCGCATTTATGACCATATGGGTGAAATGCTTCGTGGACAAGTGAGTTATTTATGTATAAATAGAAAATTTGTCCAAAGGTTAAAAGCTTCATTTCTTTCTTCCAAATTACGCTTCCAATATTCTAATAGAAGATTTGTTTTCAGGGTGCAGGTATTGGACAATCAGCGTACGATTGCAACTGGTATTTACCACCGAAGGATGTCATTTCATTAATTATCGTGATGTGTCGAGCGAAAGTATCGTTTCAAATAACAGCTGGAAAGTTCAGTTCCTTCTCCCTCGAACTCTTTGATACTGTGAATCAAACGATCATGGAACTAAATTATTTTTTCACGGACTTCTACAAACATTTAAATATGCATCTGAAGAGTTCGGAATAATATCTTGTCAAGTTCTAAAAATTTTTATTTGATATCTTACCATATGGTTAGCTATGAAATATCGACTGATAGATGAAAAGTAACACAATCGTATGGTTGACAAATGTTTGTTCTCGTTTAGGATAATAGGAAACACAGCACACTGCGTATTTTATAAAATCACACTCCTTACGGAATAAATATTTTGATATCTATTCAGAGTTCTGTATCAAGATTCATATAATCTGATAAAGATACTTTTAACCGAAGGAATAGAGATTTAGTACGAAGAAATTGTACATTCGAAGAACTTGATAAAACCATAAAAAAATTGAGATGTTGATAAAACTCACACTTTATAGAAATAGTATCTCTCCCAAAGATTTCTTCCTAAAACGAAAAGTTCCTGAAGAGAACTTGCTGAAAAAAAAGTATGGAATAGAAAAATGCATTTCACATTTTAAAATTGCAAGAAAATGGTGATATTACTATCACGAATACAATGCGCATTTGCACATTTACAACACAATATAAAAGACCACAAGATAGATATAAATAAATATGTAGCGTAGAACTATCTATACGTTTTATCACTGCAATCAACAGGGAAAGACTGCTCTTATACAGATCTGTGAAACTACCTGAAGTCTTAATGTATAAATGGGAAATTTGACAGATCTGAATTTTCTAAGTTAATTCTAGTGATGCATTAAACCTAACCCTTAAGTGTAAACTATATAAATATAATTCTATTAGTTGAAAATTTTAATTTTATGAATTACATATTTTTTATTTTATAAAATTACTGGATATTGTATTTATCATTTAAACAAATTTCTTCGAAAACGCTTACTTTCAATAATAGGTGTTTATTACTGGTGATATATTTGCTCAATAAAATTGAAAAAATTCTTTTGCTTGTAAACTTTGAATCGTATCCATGAAAGGAATATAGTGTCGAATTAACAATATTGTAAAAACGCAATGCGTTCCCTGTTTATTCCCTCGTACTGTGGAAGAGGTTGTGAATAATTGCGGATGAACACTTGTAGCAGCCAAACTGTAATGATAGATCCAACTTACTTAGAGACAAAGTTGAGAACGGCGCTGAACTACGCATTCACGAATAATTGATATCATAACGCGCATGAAGGAGACGCGCGCTGAGGAAAACGTCGTAGTAGCTTTCGAACGTGAGAACAGGTAGTTCAGTTATGGGAAAAAATGCCTCTATGGATATCCAACGAGGTAACTTTACAATTTTTCAAATTTAATTAAACATATTCGAAAAATATTGCAGTGCCTGCAGATATTTTTGTTTTATCAAATTAATTTACAAAATATCCTAATTATTCGAAATAAATAAATAGGTAAATGAGAATAATATGCAAAAGGGAAAAAAAGAAAAAGGAAATTTATATTTTTAAGTAATATATCATACAGAAAAAAAGAAATACAGTATATTAAATTTGACGGCCCAGAACTATTCTTTGGATGATAATAATTTAGATTCAAAATACGAGAAAAATAAAGATTATATTCTAAAATAATATTATAGATAGTGAATAAGAAAAATTGTAGGTATATTTAATCTCAGGGTTCTGAAATATCTTTAAGTACCCATTCATGACAGATAGTGATATAGATGTAAGGTATATGTACGGTTGGAACTATTACATGCTGAGATTTATGGGTATCTGGCCGGAAGAGAGGAAATGGTACCGAGCTTACAGTTACCTCGTTCTTTTACCGTGTATCATGATGCTGTGCTTCGTATGTGCTCCACAAACAATTAACCTTACCATGATCGCGAGTGACTCTGATCTGGTGATCGAGAATCTATCGACTAACATTACCATCACGCTTTCGCTTATGAAGACAATAGTTATTTGGTTCAGAGGCAAATGTGAGTATTTAAAAAATTAACAAAAATACATTTATCGTGTTAATTTAACTAAAAACACTATCAATTATCTACTTTGTAAATCTTATTCTATTGCTTTATTCTATCATATTCTGTTACCTATTTATATTATATTTTAAGATATTCTTTAGTCTTATTCTAATTGCTCCACAAAACGAGCATTCAAGACGTACTCTATCTGGCATTTTCTTCTCTTTGCAAGCATTAAGACCTCTGATAAAGTGCATGGTCAACGATTGGGACACAGTGATGAACGAAACCGAACGGGAAACAATGGTGAACATTGCGATAATCACCAGAAAGACTACAATGAGAAGCACATTGATGGTTAACATCGTAGTTCTCGCTTTTCTACCTGCACGACTATCTAACATGAGATACAACGACAGCGCACTGTTCTTTCGTGGCTATTTCCCCTACAACACTAGCATCAGTCCAAATTTCGAATTGACGATGATCGGTCAATTCGTCGCTACTGTTTATGCAGCGAATACCTACACAGCTATAGATACTTTTGTCGTCCTGTTGATTTTTCATGTCTGTGGACAGCTTTCGAATTTGAGAGACGATTTACAGAAGATTCATTCGTACGATAAGAAAGATGTAGAAACGAAGTTGCGGAAAATTATTCAGAAGCATGAATATATTAACAGGTTCGTATTCTAAAGATATTGTTTTATTGAAAATGGTAAGAAAGCTACACAGTAAGGAGAATAAATTATAATAAGCGTATTCATGAAATATTAATATCTTAAATCAAAATTCATCGATTTAAAATTTCTGTACGTTTATCTTTTATTTTCTTTGTTTTAACATGTAATTGCATAATTTAGCCGCCGTTTAGCAAATATTAATCATGTCGTACGTACATCTAAGGTTCGCGACAACGATAGAGAATTCTTTCAACATGATGCTTCTGCTTCAAATGCTGGGTTGCACTATTCAAATATGCTCTCAGTCTTATCAAATCATTATGGTACGAAGGTAAAAATATCAAGGAATTTTCTAAAATAAATACATCAGCTTTGATATAATTTAATTTATAGTCATTTGAAGAGGAAGCAATGGAATACATGATTTTCCAAATTACCTTTCTGTTGTTATACGTAGTTTACGTGATGTTGCAATTGTTCCTATATTGTTACATGGGAGAAAAACTAGCAGCCGAGGTATTTCTTATAAAAGGCAAATTAGTTAATTGACGTTTTCGGTGATGAGAAATTATTAAAATTCGCAATTTTTTCAGAGTACGGAAATAGCTAACACGGCGTACTACGCCGAATGGTACAATTTACCTCCCAAGAGTGCAAGATGGCTTGTAATTATTATGTGCCGTGCCAGATCTTCACCGTTACAAATTACAGCAGGCAGATTTTATTGGTTTACTCTAGCGCTATATACTCAGGTAAGCGTGAACGAGTCCTAATACGATTTACGAACACAAACTTTCTTAACAATTCTGTGATAAATTGCGAAGTATCTGAGAGCTACAGTGACCAATTTATAACGCATTGTCAATTGTTGACACAACAAAAATTATAACGAGTATTAGATGATTGCTGTTCAATTGCTGATCAATTCTAGCAGCATTGACTACAGGCTCAGAATGTATCGATACAATTTAGGTACCAAATTCTGAAACACATCCTGTGTAAAAGACACAAAAATATCTCGCAATTTAAATGCTATAGGTTACATTCTAGCGTATTAAGAGAGATGGATATAGTAGAAGAAAAAAGCGTACGAGTATAGAGAATATAGAGAACTAAACTAAAAAATAGATATGCGATATGGTATATAGATTAAGAGATGAAAAAATATGTACACGGTGTTCACGGTATTTCTAGACAGCGTTCTTATCGTAAACGTTAAGTATGAGGATAAAATGAATAAGGAACAAGTGTTACTGTTATTTGTAAGCAACATAATGGCGTATGTAATTTTTTTATATGTGTGATAATATATGTGCAAGTCTTTAGATGCGACGATACTCCAGAAGAAGTATAGGATTGAATGAGAGTTTGAAAAATATGTAATCCAAGTCTCTCTTTTCGGACTGCGAAGCCGAAAAATAAGTAAATGTATGTAGGGGAGAGTCGTACGGTACCGACCGTCGTACAATAGCGACCAAAATTAGTTCTACTTTTTTTCACCAGGTATTAGCAATTTTATTTGAATGAAAAAATGAATATAACGATCCTGTGCAACATATTTCGGAATCATATTGTTTGTTCCACAGCTTTCGCTGTTCTGACATTTTAAACTTGTACATTTTGACGTGCTGATATTTTATTTGTCAGGTAAGTAAATGATTTTTACTATTTCTTTATTATGTATACTATATCTAATCTATTAATTGTAATTACCTGCCCCAACTTTTCAATTTTCTTTGTATGTTATATACATTACAATCTAAAAGGTTTCCACATGTTTCTCGTCCAGCATCCAACAAATCAGTAGTCGACCAGTACACGTCAAATTCTTTTTATCAAGTTGTCAATTTACCAAAAATGTTGTCAATTCTACATACTGAGTTTCACAAAATTAATATCACTCCTTTTATTAAGTCCATTTGTATTACAAACATATTTTTTAAATTCTGATTATTGCTAATTCTAGCCCAAGATATAACAAAAAAGCTTAGAGTGGTCGGTAGTGTAAGAAAGCTGCAAAAGCGCAGGCATCACCTGCTTCTCTTTTATTTCCTCGTATCGTGGAGGAGGTTGTGAATAATTACAGATAAATACATACTTGTAACAGTCAAACTGTAATGACAGATCCAACTTACTGAGACATAAAGTTGAGAGCGACGCTGAACTACGCATTCACGAATAATTGATATCATAATGCGCATGAAGGGGACGCGCGCTGAGGAAACCGTCGGAGTAGCTTTTGAACGTGAGAGCAGGTGGCTCAGTTATGGGAAAACGGGCCTCTATGGATATCCAACGAGGTAATTTCACATATTACCTAATAAATATTGGTAAAAACCAGCGAGATTAGCAGAAATTTCTCTTTTATCACTTTAATCGTTGAAAATAAAAAGTGAATAATTGAAAATAATACAAAATAACTAAAACTGGAGACTATAATTTTAGATATTACTATGGATAGTGGAAGAGAAATATGACATATTTAATCTTGCGACTGTGAATTATTTTTTAAGTACCTATTTATAGATAGAGATGTAGATTTAAACAATGTGTACGCTTGGAATTACAACCTGCTGAAGTTTATGGGTATCTGGCCGGAAGAGAGGAAATGGAACCGAACTTCCAGTTACCTCGTTCTATTACCGTGTATCATAATGCTGTGCTTCGCATGTGCTCCACAAACAATTAACCTTCCTATGATCGCCGGTGACTCTGATTTGGTGATCGAGAATCTATCGACTAATATTACCGTCATGGTTTCCCTCATGAAGACTCTGACTGTTTGGATCAACGGCATACGTAAGCATTTCAGAAAATTACACAACAACAAATTAAACAATAAATATGGATTTGTCTTCTTTTTTTAATTAATTAAAATTACTACCGCATACTAATACTAATTACCACTAATACTAATTACCACATACTAATTACTACCACATATGCAGCTTATAAATCTCATTGTACTGTTCTATTTTGTCATATTCTCTTATCTATTTAGGTAATATTTTAAAATATTCTTTAATATTATTCTAATTGTTACACAAAAGGATCTATTAAGACGTATTTTATCTACCATTTCCTCCTCTTCCAAGCGTTAAAGTCTCTACTGAGATACATGGCCAATGACTGGGACGCAGTGACGACTAATATCGAACGAGAAACAATGGTGAACACCGCGAGGATCACTAGAAAGATTACAATAGGAAGCACATTGATGGTCAACATCGTAATTCTCGCTTTTGTGCCTGCACGATTGTCTAGCATGAAAAATAACGACATTACACTATTCCTTCGTGGTTATTTCCCATACAACACTAGCATCAGTCCAAATTTCGAATTGACGATGATCGGTCAATACGTGGCTGCCATTTATGCAGCGAATACGTACACAACTGTAGATACTCTCGTTGTCCTACTGATTTTCCACGTCTGCGGACAGCTTTCGATTTTGAGGCAAGATTTAGGGAGGATTGATTCGTACGATAAGAAAAATATAGAAATGAAGATGCAGAAGATTGTCGAAAAGCATGAATATATAAATAGGTTCGTATTAAGGAAATTTGTTATTTTGTTGAAGATACTAGGCAATATATACAGCGAAGAGAATAAATTAGAGTAAGCGTATGCATGGAATGTTAATTTTCGATGTTTAAGTTCATCAATGTAAAACCATTGTATGTTCGTCTTTTCGTTTCTTCGTCTGAACATTTTCTTCGTCTCAACCTTTAAACTCATAACGTTGCTGTCATTTGCTAACTATTAATCTTGTCATGTGTACAACTAAGGTTCGCGGGAAGGATAGAGAATTCCTTTAACATGATGCTTCTGTTTCAAATGCTGAGTTGCACCATTCAGATATGTTCTCAGTTTTACCAAGTTATGATGGTACGATGAAAAACATATCTTTTTTCAAGTGCATATAATATAAAAAAATTTCAAAAGGTATTACAAAATAATATATCATTTTTCTCATAATTTAATGTGCAGTCGTTAGGAGAGAATACAGTGGAAGACATGATTTTTCAAATTTCGTTCTTATTGATATACGTATTTTACGTGATGTTGCAACTGTTCCTATATTGTTACATGGGAGAAAAACTAGCAGCCGAGGTATTTTTTAGAAAAGAAAAATGAATATTGCCGTTTCTAGTGATGAGAAATTATTCAAATTTTCAGTTTTTTCAGAGTACAGAAATAGCTAACATAGCCTACAGTACAAAATGGTACAATTTATCTCCCAAGAATGCAAGATGGCTTGTAATTATTATGTGCCGTGCCACGTCTTCACCCTTACAAATTACAGCAGGCAGATTTTGTTCCTTTACTTTTGCGCTTTACTGTCAGGTAAGTGTAAACGAGTTATAATACAATTTACAGGTAGTATTTTTATGTACTATTATTTCGGAAATGAAGATCATTTTCGATCCTTTAAATAGACTGCTGCATGTCTTTTTATGTCATATGAAGCGATTTGTGGAGACGATGGGCTTAAATAGCTGTAGCTGTGACACGTATGTCACTATCGTTTCTAAAAGAATACTGCAAGTATAAAAAAGTGATATACGCTGTTATATTGGTCATAGGAAATCGTAAAACTTTTTCCTGACAATTTTTTTTCTAATACATGCCATTTGGAAAATACCAAGAAAAAAGCTGGCTAATAAATTCGTGAACACCCTATTTGTTTAAGATTTAGCTTAGATATAAAATAAGTAGATGCGTGTAAGCCTTTAGATGTAACAGTATTCTCAAACACGTTTCGGAATGAGCAGAGATTAGAAAAATATGTAATGCAAATCATTTATCCGGAGTGTGAAGATGGATAATAATCAAAAATATGTATATATATGTATAATATCTCACATTTACATAAACATATACAGAACAACATTTTTTTTTTGTATTCAGGTCATAAAAACCTCGATGGGGTATGTTTCTGTCCTATACGCAATGAAAAATAAATAATAGACGATCCGATACACCTGTGAATTTTACAACCGTCCATCAGCTTGATAAAAAAAGCGTTACAAAAAGAATATTTTAGTATATTTCTCTAAATGATAAATTATATCTCAAAGTAATGAGAATTAAAATGGCGAAACAAAAAAATTAAATACTGTGTAAAGTAATAAAATTATTAATTATTAAAGAGATTCCTCGAGACCACGAGTGCCTCTTAGGAAACCTTAAAGATATCATCTTTCCCTCTTTTCGCAGATCGACATTTTTCCCATCACAATTGTTGAGAACAAAGAAAAGTTGGTCACCGTTTGCTTTGACGCGTACAGATAAAAAATGAGCAGACTTCCGAGTTTGCTGGCAAAACAATGTACGTGTGTGTAGTTTAGTGAAGCTTGGTACAATTCTTCCTGGATCCTACGCCAACGAGTTGATGATCCTACTCGATATATGTATACTTGTAATGCATAAATGCTTTTGCTATACCCATTTTATACCAAACTATTAACACACATATCAGCAAAGGTTTACAGAAAGTATGTGGTTTGCTGTGACAGCCGTCAGGTGAGTACACAAGTTAGGGGAAGGTTCTTCGCGTCATTCGCATCCCCTATGCTTGGTTTATAAATTCGTGCGCCGATACAAACCAATGACAGTCACGCATGTGATACGGGGATATGATTTTCTGTGTCTTCAGGTCAGACCAGTAGTACGCTAATAGTGTCAAAGCAGCATTTATGGAGAGTGTAAGGGCAGTTTTTTTAGTGGGTTGAAATTAGCATTTAGCAGTTCCACATAATTCACATTATGCATAATATGCATAGCATGGTATTTCTACTCTCCTTCGAAAAAAAGCCGAAGCTAAGAAATACTTTCTTTAAAAAAAAAACTTACCGTTTGGATTCCTCCTCTAGGTTCGGCTAACCGTGTACTTGCCCCTCGTCTTTAACCTTGGAGAAAATCGGAGCTGAGAAATCGTCAATTTTGCGGCCGGTGATAGCATTCGCCGTATAGTTCGATTCGAGTCATTCGAGATCTGTTCGTTTTTTGGTTTTACCGACATCTTTGACATTTACCTACAATTAACAAAAAGTGGTGATATAGGTGATATAGGTGATCATGGTGATATAGGTATCAATAAAATTTGATGGCTCAGATTGGATAGTAGGTTTAGTTTAGTGATCGAAATTTGCAATATTTCTGGCGGAATCGTTTATCCTCCTATTTTATCGATTGTAAATAATTGCCTAAGTAGTATATTACTGTGCTGTATGCAAAAAGTAATAATGTTTGTGTGCAATTTAATGGTATTATATAAAATAATTCATACATAACTACACATTTTTCCATTTTTTGACAATTTTCTACCTTATCCTTTTAATTAAGAAGGTGCTTTCTTATTTTTATTATTAAATGAACCTCGCTTTGTCTCATATTTTCCTGATACAATTTGTTTCCATATAATATTGATATGTATGTGTTCTTGTCTCACTTGCATGCTAAAGATTTTCTTAAAACATTGTAACTCAATTTCTTGGTTGAAACGAAAACAACATCGAGGCACGAAAAATACAAGAAACGCAGTAATAATTGAAATTGAAATTGATTGAAGTATATTAAAGTTAGTTAAAAATGTCCTACGTTACCTCTGTTCATGTACTGCGAACAAGCCTCTGTTTACAAATGTGAAGGAGTTTCGCATCGAATTTAACACATAAATGTGAATAAAAACGTAGTATGATCCATGGTAAAAGTTTCTCAATAAAGGCAATCAATTATTCAACGATGAAGACATAAAGTATCCAGTGAGTAGTTAAGTTAAAGACAGTTTGTTAGCAGGCGAAGACGGTTAAAAAAATTTGTCTATCCTCGTAGACGCGAAACTTCGAAGTTTGCTCGTACTACTTGGAAGTTGTAACATTTTCACATGAGGTGGTTTCTCACGTACCAAGAGGGGCAGGCATTTTTCTTTCGTGTAAAGTACGAGAAATTCGCGGCAGTCATTTGATCGTGCAGCTGACGTGTGTGTACTTCTAATGGACTTCGATGCAGGTATCATTTTTAATTATTTTCGTGAATTTTACTTAATCTTCGGATATGTCATGGGATACCTAAAAAGAAAAATACAATGAAGAATAAATTGTATAGTAACATTCGAATTTCGCTTTAAAAAGTTGCAGCATATCTCAGTTAATAGAATCACCCTTTATATTTATAAAAGATATACAACATGAATTTTTGCTATCACTTAATTTTTATTATAAAAAATATGATCATTCTAAACTAACTTTAATATCTCGTAGTATTCAATAAGCGTAAGATTTTCCACGAACTCGTTTACTTTTGAGGATTGAAAACAGCCATAGGATGGAATCGTTGGAATATGGAACTAATTGGCATCTGGCCGGAACCGGGAAGAACTGACGAACGATTGTCACATTTCAAGGCTCTAATTTATTTGTCCATAATAACTATATTTGGAACTGGACCGCAGAGTGCGAACCTATTTTTCATATGGGGGAATCTTGAGTTGGTGACAGAAAATCTGTCAACAGCTAATATCCCTGGTATAAACGCTATGATAAAGCTGATCTTTGCTTGGTACTACAAAGACTGTACGTATAAAGAGGACAAGCGATCTACTAAACAATTACAATGTTGCGCGCTTAAATTTTATTAGATTTGTTAAATCACATTTCTCGCAGAACAGCGATTTTGCTCTGGAAATATTACCAGTCCCCTCAATATGAGCAAAGAATAAACTTTGAATTTAAGAGAAATAACTACACTGGAATCTTTTACGTTCTTGCACAGATTTCTTTTTGTTTTTGGTATTTAAATTACATCAACTGCTTGGTTATTAGCGATTATATTATTTTATATTTTTTTGATATTATGTTACTTGTGTACTTATTGCGTTACTTATGTTACTTATACCTAAAAACTCGGTAAGGTCTTTTGTTTCGTTAATATATATAAAAGTTGTCCTTTAGTGGTGTTATCTTGCAAAAATCTTGTTGTTTACACATTGAAGTGATACGAGTTAATAGGCCATTTAACAAATTAATTGGATTATATTTCAAGCTTTCAAACCTATCATGAAGTCTTTCTACGATGACTGGCGCAGTGCGAAGACGGAAGAAGAAAAGACAGCGATGCTGAAGATGGCTAAACCTGCGAACTTTATTTCCGTCTGGTGTTCAATATTAACTCTCACAATGGTCACTGCATATTTAAGCCTTCGATCTATTAGCGTCTATCTTTCTGATAGATTACATGAAAACCGGGATCATTTGAGCTTGTATCCTGGATATTTTCCCTATAACATTCGACCAGTACCGATATTGTTAATGACCAATTTTGCTCAAGTAATTGCGGGATATTCAGCTACTATTTGCTATACCACTGTCGACACTTTTATCGCTATGTTAGTCCTGCATATATGTGGACAATTTGAAATTTTAAGGAAGAAATTAACAAGATTATTGGACGGCGAGGAAGGAAATAGAAGCATAGATGAGTTTCGAAAGGAGTTGGTTTGGATTATTACCAAGCACGAGCATCTGAACTGGTGAATAGCATATCTCGATATTTACTAGCTTTTTACATATTAGATTATTATATAATAGATTTCTAAAACGATCCTTATAACATATTCCAAGGATATTCCTTAACGTATTAAATGTGCATTATTTTGTTCTTAAGAACAATACTAGGAAATTTGAGTTTTCTTTTATACTATGATAATCTCAATTCTTCTTCGATACCATGATGTATTTTGATATTACCATATTTCAATATTTAACGTGTATCCAAGGCTATCATTTGTTAATATTCCAATGCTTAAAATTATCCTATCCTAGTATTTCAATATTATAATATTTCATTTTCTAACATTCCAATCTGAAACACTAATCTCGGTAAACATTTTTATTAAAGGCATGCACAGACGATCGAAAAATGCTTTAGTACGCTATTGTTGCTACAGATGTTACTGTGTACCATCGAAATATGCTTTCAAGGTTTCTTGTTCTTCAACGTAAGTTACGTTTACTATATTCTTTGTACTCCGTGGTTGTAAGATCACAGTAATAACGCAAATTAACCAGGTATTGATTAAAAACGAAAATGGAATCTTCAACTTTCAACTGGTTTTCTTTGTCCTCTTCGTCTGCTTCATCCTTGTACACGTGTATCTGTATTGTTACATAGGCGAGATGCTTCTCATTCAAGTAAGTAATCCTTCATGCCACTGTAATCAACATATTCATAACTGAGTTCTGATAGATCCGATCTCATGCTCCTTGTAAATTGGAAATCGTGCATAGAGTTTTAATGTCTGACTCGTCTCTCAGAAATCAACAATTATCTGAATCGTGTTATAAACCATGAAATCCGAACCGTAATAGAATACATTTTTATAGCATCGCTTGTTACTAATTTATTATTGTCCAAATAAAAAATGATAAATGTGAACACAATACTTTCAATAATCATAGAATAGATACATAATAATCTTACAATCATCTGTTTGAAGAGATAATAGACACACACACACGTATCTAGATTTTTAATTTATATTTAAAAAAAGTACACAGAAATACATTTCGTACATTTCGTACATTTGAACGAAAATCTCACAAACGTCAAGATAATTATAATTCTTTTTAATTCATCGATGCTCGACGAACAAACGAATGAAGCAGAGGCTCACGAAGGAAGTAGAAAAGTTACTTTGGATGGTTTCAGAGTAGAGAAATGAGCAATAGCGCGTACGAATCGAATTGGTACAACGTCTCACCTTCTCAAACCAAATGTCTTCTATTCATCATGAACCGGTCCACTCGTCCACTTTGTTTGACTGCAGGCAAATTTGGTATCTTCTCTATGGAACTGTTCAGTACCGTATGTACAAATATCGACTCATAAACCACGGCTATCGAAGTACATAATTCACTTTCATCAGTAAAATCACTTAAATCTTGTTTTAGATTCTGAAAACAGCGATGGGATACCTTTCGGTGTTACTAACAGTTGCAAATAACGATTAGACTTGTTTATCCGTAGTCAAGTTGCAAACTCATCTTTAGAATACGTACCCTGATCTGTACGATTGCTCATCTACAATTATTTGAACGAAATGTTATCACAGTTACGACACATCACGGTACCGTATGTAAAACTTGAGCGTATTAAACGTTACAACACAAGACTAACCGAGAAAGTGAATATTCTCTACATCACAAAAAGAAAATC